ATCTGCCCAGGCAAAGTTTCAGTACTAAACATGGAGGGAGGGGGATGTTATTGCGCTTGTCACTGGATTGCGGATCGCAGAACCATGATTCAGGCAGTTCGCAGTTCACGCGGCTGTCATCCCTTGCGAGAATTTTGACCTCATGTTTAAAGATGTTGAATGAGCTGCAACCTGAGAGTTGGCGTCATCTTCACTGCTGCTGCATGTTCGGACGTCCGCATCTAGATTAATCTTCTAGTTCCTCCGACGTAGTTGTTTCACCCGCAGTTGTACCAAATCCGGCAAACGACTCCAGATGTTTCCTGTCGGGTATTGGATCTTTCGGCCCTCTCACTTGACGCCTGACAATTGCCGCATCTTCCTCTCGACTGTTTTCTGGAACTCACTCCTTTGCATCTCTCGCCAACACAGCAAGGGGAAAGTTTGAGTACGATCAGTGTTCAAGCCACCAGGTAGCAAGTTAGCGCAGCTTAAACTGCCACCTTTTAGGATGCCTTGGGGTAAGCGACGGACAGATAACATGAAATGACACTGCTCCCAAAGCCTGCAGATCGTCCAAGGACAAGACAAAATTAGTATCCCTAGATAGCTTGCCTCTGGCACAAAACGCTCGACTAATTCGTATATAAAGCAGATTGGAGAACATGACTGGCTAAACCGTCAGGACTGGCGTTTTATGACCCTAACCATATGCACTCGCCAGCGTCTGTGATGCGTCTTTTCTCAAACCCTCCAACTTCCTCACCACTTGGCAAGAGGGCGTCGACAGCCAAGCATGTCATGACGTTGTTAGCCTAAGCTATCCCAAGTCGTTGTATTGCAAAAAACCACCCTACCCCTTCCTGTGCGAAGTGGCAGTATGACATGTAGCAAGTACTGTGGTCATGAAAGACAGCGAAACGGGAACTCAGAACGCTCCCAGTAGCGTAAAAGCCAGGACTCGTCCGAATAAAGTTCATCGGCAGGCTCACCAACGCCGAATGAGTCGCATCTTTACTCTCCGAGATATCCACCGACGCCTGTGTTATTGTCCCTTAGAAGTTAGCTGTTGCTGTCGACTCGTTCCTCAAGGGCCCATTGGTTGATACAAACCCTTAAAGCTATTATTCCAGACAGATTTATTTCATCCAAACGTACCGGCGAAGCTGGGCTGCAGGCATGCGTGCTTACCACAACCCCAGGAATGCCTCAGATCCATTCAAATGGACATTATTTCATCAGATATCTTCAGTTCTGTAATCGACTGAGCATTTACATGTTCCGTTGTAATTTTAGCGTGCTTCTCTTCTCTTGTTCGCTGTCGATCATAGCTACGGCGCGTCCGCGTAACATTTGTATAAAGTGTTTTGTGGGGGTCGACTTGTGCTGCCTCTTTTCTAGTACTGTCATATTTCAACTGGTTCCACAGACAACAAAACAGTAAAGACAGCCGAACATGAATATGACCGTTTTGAAATTGTGCCAGTAGATGGTTGCTGTTTCATCTGTCCTGTTAAACGTCGATTCCCACTTCTTAGGGAGAGGAATTGGCGTTCTGAGGATTTATGGACCATCAGCCTCATTCTAACCTGACGTGTGATTTGAGTTGCTCTTATTATAGGCAAAACCCAAGTAATACCTCTGCGGACTGTACTGATTACAATGCCGCGTCCAGCACTTCGCCCTCGTCTGCGTGTATAAGACGTGGCGTAGGATCTGGTTCGCCCTTATTAGAGCCTGTTGGATGTGAAGCAGGGGGGACGGCCCGTGTGTAGGACGCGTAGAGGGACGGCCAAACTTTGTCAGCCATTGTCTTGCCATTAGAGGAGGGTGGGTGAGGAGGGAGAGAGTACGATAGGTATTGGGTCAGTTTGCGTCACTATAAACTAAGCCACGGGCAAGTCACAGTCCTGCGCCCGCCATGCTGTGGGTCATACGGTAAACGTTATCGCCCGTGACGGTCGGCACGAGATGTGATGCGAGTCCTGATGTATCAGCGGAAGTAAAGCGTGTGTGACACGCGTGAATGGGTTGTTTAGCTTTGCCAGCCACATCGTTCGTCCACGCCTCTTGTTGTCCTGCCACTGAAATTAGGTGGGTAAGGGAGGAGAGGGTGTGGTAGATGCTGCGAAAGTCTTCCACCCTCGCGCGCAAGTCACCGGTGGTGCACCCACTCCGTGCGGTTGACGTTGTCGCCTGCGACGGTCGAACTGTCGTGTGGGCTTGATACCCACCAATTCGACAGAAGTAGACTCTACCGCCGGAACATGAGTCGTACTCACCTGCCGCCTCGAACTCAAACCCGAACTTACCACCAGAAACAGCAAGAGCAGATCAGCATAGTGGACGCGCATGTGTTCCAGTATTTATACAACGCAGACGCTCTGTAAGTACACAGTTTTTCAAATACTACAACCCTCGCGCTACTGCTACCCTGATTTGTTGCTGTCTCTGCTGATAGGCTCGAGTGTGGGTCCGAAATGTCAGGCAAATAAGACTCATTTCCGGTCGATTGAGTCTCCTTGCTCTCAACTGCGTCCTTACATCACCCTTTTCGCATGTATCGACATACTGGTTGCTCACACCGGCCCCTCGCAAATTTGGATGTCGTATCTGTCGTATTTGTTCTGGGAACTGCAGTAAGGCGGAATCACTACACTCCGATTTCGGCTACGTTGCTATTTTCCTGTCAACTGGAAGTCTTGCGGTCCATTGCATTTAAGTCGCCGTCAGTTGATACAAGGTGGATGGGTTTGTTCTACTTTGTT